AGCAGGAGTTTTGGCTGAGCGAGGCCTCTCAGCGTGTAGCTTATATTACAGTCTCATGCATGCAGTGTTTGCTTAGTATGAGTCTCTTACTCGGGGTTCCTATAGAAGGTGGGCAAAGCACGCAAAACTATAGATTTTTTTTACTTTAATAACTTTTTATCGAACCACTTTACCACACTATATTGTGAAGGATCTAAACCACGTATTCATAAATCATCGCTTTTACAAAGAGCAGCACAAGAAGACAAAGGGGAACAGACTGACAATGGCAAGCGAATAAACACAAACTCCAATAATGAAATGTTGGCTTGTATATACTGGCATTTAAAGTCCATTCCATAAAATGTAATAAAGTGAATGTTTGGGATATGAAAACAAACCCCCAGAGAGATCCTCTATTAAAAAAATCATTACCTTCTTTCTGTGTCAATTTCTTTCTTTAAAACACAACTAAAATGCCCTAACGTGTTCTACACCGGCTGCCAAATATTAATGTTAACAAAAGGAATTTCTTTGTACGTTAGAGCAGACTGCCACTCGCAAGGCTTGCTTTCATTAGATGCAGCTTTCATCACAACTTTGCTGCTTTGAAGTTGCTCAGGACTTGTTCTAAGTCATACCTCTCCGCAGCAAAATGTTTTTTATTGACCTGGCCTAGCGAACAGCATGTTGTCTTGAGAAGTGTCAGCTCTGTCTATTCTTATTTATTGCCGATTTTGGTAACTTCAAGAACAAAGGGAGGGACGGAAGGTAGTAGGGGAAGGAGTTGTTTGTTTTTTTTTTTTCAGGTACTTTATGAGAATATTCTTAAAGAGCCAAGGGAAACATTTTACTTCAGAAACTCCTAAAATCTAGAAAGTATGGACTCCTGCTTTATTTGTTCCTACATACAATTTTCTCTCTCATTGATAGACTTCACCACTTTAATACACCTCACGCATGATTGTCTCCCTATATAGCCCTGCTATAACACAAGATATTAACTCTGGCCTCAGTGGGGTGCACACAGAGGGGTCCTAAGGCCATTTCAGTGGTCAAGCTGATGCTCGGTCAAGGACTAGGTATGGAAAGGAAGCGGCGGTAAGCAAGCCACCTAGCCTCTATCCTACTGCAGGTACCTCAGGCACGTCAGAGGGACCAAAATTAGTTTTTGCTAATACATCCTACAGTGAAGCAAGTCAGCTTAGCTCACTGATGTCCTGGAGCAGCCTGGTGTGATTACTGGTGTTGCTGTCATCCCACGCTGGGCAGAGGGCAGTGACGGATGAGCACTGTGAGCCCAGATATGCCCTTCAGAGCAGTCAAGATGATGCACTGCACAGAACCGAGTAAGTCTTTCCTGTCTCTTTCAGGTGTTGTCCAACACAAACTGGAAGCACCACTGAATTCAAGTGAGACTTTCATATCCTGATAGGTACGGAGCACAGAGCACCATCCGTGTCACTGGTGTGTGAAGATAAGCCCCGACATCTTGGCAGACACCAACGGAAAATTAGCCTTTCCCGCAAAGGACTGGTACGTAACACGTAAGCTGCAGGTGAGAACAAAACCACAGGTAAGCACTGTACACAGCAATTTTGCTGTTTTGCTTAAGGGTTCAGCCTCACATAGGCTCTACAGGGAACAGGAGAGGTTTTGAGTGGCAGCCTACTCTCTGGAAGAGCCTCCAGGCTGATGGTTCCTGAGCTGGGAGCTGTTTCACCTCCCACCGCCCACATCTGCCCTATAGCTCTGAGGGAACCTGGCACCACAGATCTGGACAAGCCACAGGACAGAGTTACCCCTAACGCCTACTATGCCACCACGGTGCCAGTTTGTTTGTGCTCTTGGCAGAACGTGAATGTATGGAGGAAAGGACGGACCTGCTTTTTGAGATAATTCTGCTTTGCAGTGATGTTCTTGTCTGCTGTAACCTTTCCTTACACGTACTTCCTAAAGCTGCAGCTTCTGGAATCTTTGTCTCTTTTTAAGAATATTTGCACTTACTTTAAGCCTTTGCGGCTTGTGAACGTGTGTTAGCACAGGAAAGCATGACAGATAGCGAGCAGCAGTCAGGCAGCGCGGGTAACTTGAGGAGCTTTCAAGAGATGCAAATGCTTGTATCTGGTGCAACCCAGAGGAATATAAAGCCTCATAATATGCTATGGAGAGTCGCCCTAGCTAGCACAGGGACCAAAAGCAGTCTGGCCACAGCAGCATAAAGCATTTTGGGGAGTAGTTTATGCAGTTTAAAATATGAAGGAGCTGCACTATAGAGGAGAGGTAAAAGAGGCTAGTACAGGCTATCGGCAGCCCTCCTCTAGATGTCTAAGAGTGTAGCAGTGAGTGATAGAGAAATACCACCTTTTAGTACATCCCAACATCCCCCTGCTTCCTTCTGTGTCCCCCACCCTTGTTTTTCCCCTAACTCTTCTTGTGCCCACTTCACCCTGCCGCAGCAGCCACCGGTCCGAGCTTGGAGAGCGTTATTTTTCATTTTCAGGAGGATGAAGGGTTCAGCTCAGGAATCCTATTGTTTCAGAGCATGTGGTTTACATTATGATTTCTAAGAGGTATTTGTATATGCAAACACTACCATCTGCTGTAAGGAATACTTTGCATTTTTAAAAGGTTAATTCCATTTCAAACCTACTGATTGAATTGGTAGCAGAAACCACTCTCATTTGCTTACTGCATTTAGTGTCACAACACGCAGCCAGCCAGCAAGCCATGTCTTTACAAGGAAAGATTGTTTGGTGCTGGTAATTGGCATAGGTTTTCTCCGTATTCTCACTGAAATAACTTTTCCATTCATTAATGAATAAAAGCTGTTTTAAATTACAGCCTGTTGTTACACTTGGGATCAGACAATGGGCTTCTTGTTAATCTGAGGTGAGTGTTAAGTCTGTAATGAATAATTTGATGCATTTTCCTTTCTTTCCCCTTGCCCTTTTGAGATCTGTGTCTCAAACAGACTGCA